ATAGTGAATGTGGCATATTCCCAGGCCACCTTAAAGCATAGGTGGGTATCCTCTCATCAAAGATGTCTATGTTTCTTTGCTTCGCCACCCCCACAGGTTAAATTTGTTCCCAGTGTTTTGTGTTATATGTCTGGTTCCTATGCTGGGCAGGATTTGCTTTTCACATAGGATGTTCTAAGTATTTACTGCACATATACGCGGGGGCACTAATGATTTTCCTGCCCCCCCCCCACCATGGAGACAAGGTCTTTTATGTAACTTAGGCTTATCTAAAGCTTTGGCTCTCCACTTCAGCCTCCTGAGTGCTGGTATTATAGTCATGTGCCCTGTTTCCTGTCTTATGTTCCTTATTATTATTTTTAGTGGTAATGAGACAGAAATTACTATTGACTTTCACAGAGCTCTTGGACGATACAACTGAGATCCTCAGTGTGCTCTTACTCTTTAAGTGAGAATATGCTGGGGCAGGTGGATGGTATGTAAGGAGAACTCTATCACTAATCTTTCAGTAGCCACTGTCACAGGCTTGGCTGTGGCTAGAATGATGGAGTCCTCTGACCATCACTGCCTGCCAGGGACCATATGGTCAGGGATGACTGGGAAGCCAGGGCAAGTAGCTTATGTCAGGGCCATTCATCCATCTACTGAAGCCCATCTGCCCATGATTGCTGAGTCCAAGTGTCCAGCAACTGACTACACGACATTTGTTCAAGCTCTGGTCAATTCTACATGGAAAGTTCTTTCCTCGATATCTTTTTTTCCCCTTGTTTTCAGGGGGAAAACTCCCCATGTAGTTCAGGCTGGTGTCAAAATTGCTTATAGCTGAGAATGACTCTGAACCCTTGGTCCTCCTGCCTTCACTGCTCAGTTTCTGGGATTACAGCTGTGCACCACTATTCCTGGTGTATATGGTGTTCAGGATCAAACCCAGGTTTTTCTGCATGTTAAGAAATTACAACAGGGGCTGGAGAGATGGCTCAGCAGTTAAGAGCTCTGACTGCTCTTCCAGAGGACCCCGGTTCAATTCCCAGCACCCACATGGTAGCTAACACCTGTCTGTAATTCTAAGATCTGACCCCTCACACAGACATACATGCAGGCAAAACACCAATGTACATAAAAATAAGAATAAATATTTTTTTAATTACAACAGAACTGTCTCCCTAGCTTCTCATTTTTGTTTCTATAGATGTTTATCCAGTACTACTCAGTGGTGGTCTTTCTACCCATAAAGCAGATGAAAGCACCTGCCCTTGGTTGCTTATTATCTATCAGAGAGACAGACAAAAGCCATAGTAACAAATCAATAAGTAGCATAGTCGTTTACAAAGTTAAATGCCAAGGAAAAACACAAGAGCAGAGGAAGTGAGTGGGAGGAATCGGAGTGCAGGGACTGAACAAATTGAGCTGGTCTAAGAAGGTAGTTTCACAGCACAGCCCAGACAGTGTAAAGCAACACTGGAATTTGGTAAGAAGCCAAGTGGATCCTAGGCAGACTGATAAGCCAATGTTGAGGCCCTAGGAGGGGGGTCTGATGTGTTCTCTAAACAGCCAGGTAATGATTGGCCCAGGTCAGCAAGCTAAATCCAGTGACCCTGAGACTGGTGGGAGGGGCCATCGGTGCAGATCCTGGGATCTTGAGGGCCCTGGAGGACTTGAGTTTAGACTTTTAGTAGCTGGGTTTTGTTCAGAGAAATAACATGTTTTGATTTAAATTTTGAAAGTGGGCCTGGGGATGTGCTTAAGTCCTGATTTTAAGCCCCAGCACAGTTGAATAAAACTGGATATGGTGGCCCCTGCCAGAAACTCCCACACATGGGAAGGTAAAAACAGGATCAGAAGTTCAAGGTCCTGCTCCACTACATAGCTAGTTCTCGCCTGTGTGAGATGCATGAGACACATGAGATCCAGTCTAAGAGGGCATGGAGCAGCGTCCCCTTGCAGATTTCTTACAGTTCCTTCTTACCATTTCCTTTCAGAAACTCTCAAAACTTTTCTCTAGCTCTGAAGCCCAGGTGACTGACCTCTCCATTTCCCCAGTGTAGGGAGGCCTGGCTTTGCCCTCAGGGCTCATTCTATCAGTGAACCTCATGGGGCTTGATTTCCAGGGTTGGTGTTGATGGAACACATTTTAGGAATTTTTGAAATACATTTGATTTCAGTTATGAGTTATATAAGACTATCTTGCCCGTCATAAAACAACCAACCCCTACTCTGTAAAAAGAAACCAAGTAGTTGGGCTAAACAATTACGTGTGTAATCTTCTGTATAGTCCACTTCCCAGAGATTCAAACACATTTTAAAAATGAACCACACTGTGGACAATATCCCATGCTTTTGCCTTTTCACTTTATCTGCCCTAGATGTTTCCCCTCCTCTAGACCATTGATGTCATCGTTCTTTGTGACAGGAATAATGTTCCCCAGCTGAGTAACATCCAGGTGGTTTCCAGAAACTTGCACAACAGACTTGCTCTGCAAGGAACTGTGTCAGCGTGCAACAAGAAACACACCACTTGGGCCACTGAAAAGTAAAAACAAAACGCAACCTGTCTGAAGATGCTCCTGCGCTCTTATCGCAGGGTCCAAGCCTGGATTGTGGTAGAGAGCAGCCGGCAGGGGGTGCGGTGCGCCAGGCCGGACCTAAGCGGCAGGACAGGTGGATGCGGGCACAGGTGGTGCCCAGTGTGCCAGAACTGACCCTTAGTGTTCCAGAAACCTGACCCAGGGACTGGGTCAGGTGGGTGGATTTGGTGTCAATTGGCCTCCTGCCCCACTGACCTAGGATTGCCAGGAAGCACCCCTCCCCCACAGAGCGAGCCTCCGTAGCACTAGCTGGAGTCATTCCCCCTAGTCTTTTACCCTTAGGGTCATCACCACTTTCACAGGACCGGAACCCTGGACCTTCGACAGCTGGCCCATTCCGCTGCTCTTACCAGTGTGCTCTCTGCCCTCTATCCCCTATGGTAGGAATCTGGGGTCACAGAGAGGCTGGATGCTGTTATGTCCTTGCTGCCTTTGGTTCTCCAGTGCCCTGCTTTGCTTTGATGGCTGTGATCAAACGCTGACCAAAACCAACTTGAGGGAGGAGAAGGTTTATTTCATTTTACAGCTTACACTCTATCACCAAGGGAAGCCAAGGCAGGGACTGAAGCAGCGATCTGTCAGGAAGGCTGTTACGGTGATTTGCTTCCTCCGCCTTTCTTCAGGCCCATCTGCCGAGGAATGGCGCAGTAGGCTGGGCCCTCCCTCCCACAGCAATCAGCACACGAGAAAATGCACCTACATACATGCCCACAGCCTCGTCTGATGGAGGCAGTTCCCCAGTTGAGCGTTCCTATTTCCAGGTGACTCCAGCTCGAGTCGAGTTGACAAAAACTAACCAGCACACATGATGAGAAGGACAAACAATAGCCACATCAGAGGCAGGGCTACGCTGGGGAAGATGGCTTCCAGGCACCCAGGGGAGCGAGGGCTCCAGTGGGGTCAGTCGGTAGAAGCTGTAGTGAGGAAGGAAGTGTAGGAAGGAGCCTGGTCAAGGCCACCGTTTGTCCCAGTAGGAGTTCCTGTATGGAGGCTTTCAGCTCTGAGTCACACTGGGACAAAGGGACTGGTGTGAGAGGAGGCTGCCTTTTTGACCCTGTGGGCTTAGCTGGTGAGAATCTGCTTTGTCCTACTTACTTCGTTTTGATCTTGCAGAGGGAGACTGATTTCACACTCCCTAGTCCCTTCTATCACTCTTGGTTGCCAGATCTACCTTCAATCCTCAGGAAAGGGGTGACAGAAATGCCACCAACCCAACCGGTTTACAGTGCCAAATCCTACTTGTCTGCCTGTTTTCCCCCAGATAGGGTTGCAGCTTTAAACTACCAACAGGATGTCAACTTTGAGCTCTGGCCAGATAGCTCTAGGTGTGTACTACCTTCCCCGCCTCTTCCTGTGAGTAGCTCTGCAGGCAACTTTAGAGGGGAGCCTCTGGTCTCAGCAACAGCAACTGCTACCCACCCTCTGAGCCAAACAGAGGTGGCTCCCTCAAAGCAGAAGCCAGGGCACTTCTATTAAGGCACAAAGGCAGTTTTGCTTTGTGGTAATAAGGACATGACAACAAAGATATCAACAACCACAACCACCAAACGGCCTGTCTCTAAGCACATGCAGAAAGCTTAAGAGTTTGCTCTAGAGAAAGCAGAAATTATGTCAGCTTTATGGCCTTGAACTTTGGGATAATAACCCCTACTATGCCTCTACTGATTCCATTTTGTTCTCTTCCTTGAATCCAAAACAGATAGGAGGGAAGTTTTTTTATTGTTTTGTTTTTGTTTTTTCCTCCACAAGGCGCTTTAAAAAGTAATACCTCAGTCTTCCAGATACCCTGGCATGAGGAAGGCTGTCCATGGTGAAGCAGATGCAGTGTGGAGTTAGGGATCCCAGAAGCTTCTGAATGCTTCATATGTCTCTGTTTGACATTGGCTCAAAGGGCATGGAATTAGTAGACAAAGCTACTTCTTCCCCACCCCCTCTTACCTGCAGGAGAGGGATCAGTTCTCAGCTGGCCAGGCCAGTGTCACTGATACAGCTGGTGTCATCATTACCTTCCACTGACAGATCACTCGACACCTACCGACCTAGGCAGGGTTGGGTCTGAGCAGAGGTATGGACGCTTATTGTCCCAGAACCCTAGATGAAGCCATGATGCAAGGCACTGCAGAAATACAATGATCACTAAGCAACCTAGGGCTAGATTGCTTCCTGCCTCTGATTCCTCTCACAGCTCCTTGGTTGTTGCTGCTTGGCTCCACATTTCTGTCCTGGCAGATAGGAGTTCATCGCTGGCTGGGAGCTGAGACAGAACAAAGATGCTATACAAGGAAAGGACACCTGGAGTGACCCCAAAGTGAGGACCCAGGGCAGAAGATTGGCTCCAGGCATTGGCCTGGACTGCGGATCTGCCTAGCCTTGCAGTCCTGACTGGCTGCACTCTGGTGTGTCCCCTACAACATCATGCTGCAGCAGATCCTGCACGACATGTACATCGACCCTGAGCTTCTGGCTGAGCTCAGTGATGTGCAAAAGCACATCCTCTTCTACAAGATGAGAGAGGAGCAGCTTCGGCGCTGGAGGGAGCGGGAGGCATGGGACACCCTGGCCCAGGCAGAAGGCCTCAGACCTGCGAAGGTCAAGCGAGGTATGTGGCTTTTTGTCACCAATCCTCCAGGAGGTGAAAAAGTTAGTCAAGGTTGAGTCCTCCTTTTTTAAGGCCATTACTGTTATAAAAGGCTGGGGATTTGAGCTGGGGGCTCTGGTCCCACTAGCATGGGATTCTATCTTCCAACCAGGATTATAGATAAAGAATGTGGCCAGGACTATGCAGGAGCCAGATGGGCTAGGGAAATGGGGACTGGCTTTGTCTTGTTGTATAAGGTTCACATTCTGAGAAGACACCACTGAAAGTGTGCTCAGATAGTTGGCAATTGCATGGTAGATAATAGAGTACAGTCTATCTTTTTTTTTCTGATTCTGGGAATTGAATCTAAGGCCTTGTGCATGCTAGGTAGGCACTCTACCACCAAGGTATATGCTCAGGCCAGGTGTGTATTCTTCCCTCTCACTACAGTTCTAGTCAGAGTACATTGAAGATATGTAGGTCCTTCCTCCCTGCCATGTAGACTCTGGTTCTCAGCTCAGGCCTGTACTCTTCATCATGCCTCTCCGTGCATGTCTTCATGTGAGAGGATGCTGTGGTTTGTGTTTGTGTTCATGATTTCCAAATGGCAATAACAACTTCAGGCAAGAAGCAAGAGCCCAACCTGTTTTTCAGGTGATTTATATTCAAAGTCATTTATCAGTCAAAGCAATGGACTGATGCTAAATGACCTGCTTGTGACCTCTAGCTAGCATCAGACAGGCTGTTGCACCTTGCACAGGATTCGGCATCCTGCTGTAGAGAGTAGCTTTTGTGTAAATCGCATTCACTTTATGGTCAGTTTGAATGAATTAATAGTAAATTCAGAGTCACCAAAATTTGTTGGGATTGCATGCATTAAGGACAGGAATCAATAAAGCATTTTTCCTTGGTGCCCCTTGATCAAGGATGAGTGCAGATTTCCATGTGCTACTTCAATCTCACTGTCTTCCATCATCTTCTGTCTGTTGTATGAGTCTGATTATGTGCCTTCTTGAAGGCTGTCTTGTGACTCTGTCTGTCCCTAACAAAGGGTTTACTCTCTCTTTTATTGAACAGTACAGAAAGCATCACTTGGGGGAAGGAATGAGGGGTACTTCACAATAATCTTGAATAAAGTTTTATGAGAGATTAAGCCACTGACCCCAACTGACCCAGATAACAAAGAGTACTACACACATCATTGTTTAATCAAGCAATATTTGTATGTTGCATTCAACATATATGGTGGATATTCATTTTATAAGATTGTTTTCAACCTATATTTACTGTTTTCGGCAAGTGATTATTATAACACATATACCAAAGCATGGAAATTGCCTTGCATGACACTTGACTCCTGGCACTTGAGTCAACAGTATTCCTTAGGCTGATACTTGAGTCAACTGTGTGCCCTATGATCCTTTTATTCAAAGTCTCAAAGGCTAAAAATTGGTACAGTCCACTAAGGCCACATAGATTAAGATTATAGCTATGCATTAGTTTGGGTAGAAAAAGTTGATTACATGGGAAATCAAGGCAATTAATGTTGGTTGTTGCATTGTCTTCTTAAAGGCAGATTAAACAAACAGGCTGAGTACACAGTAGGGTAGCAATCTTAAGTCTTAATAATACCTCCAAGTGTATTATTAACTCTGGCTATGAGGTCCAGCAAAAGTTCCAGTCTTTTAGAATGTAAGGGCTATTTTTATCATAATACATTGCCACAATTCTATACTTTGCAACACAAATACACTTGCTTTCTTTTCTGCTCCCGTGACCCTTACTTGGCCTCCATCTATTCATCAAGTGAAGTGTAGCTTTGATCTGTTCAAAGTGTTCAATTCAGGCCAAGTCCTGTTCCAGGGCTGGGCAGATAGGCCTGTTGGTGACCTAGCTTCTGCCTTCTAATCCATCCTCACTGTTGGTCTGCCCCAGTGCATGCCATTGGCTTGGTGGTACCACCTAATCATATCCACGCTCACCCTGGTTTGTACCTATGTTTTTCTGACTGTTGACAGTGTCCGCTTGTTTTATCTCTCAGCACCTTCCCTGCTCCAGGAGTCTTGGGGGATGCCTCTGGTGTAGGGAGGACTTGCTCCTCTGTAACTTCCTGGCACTAGGACCAACCCCAGCTGCAGCATGTGTCGCCCTGACATTGTTATTCATCATTCACTTGTCTAGCTCTTCCAGTAGATTCCGAACTGCTGAAACTTGGACCTGTACTTCACTGTGTTTTCCTCCCTCGGGGCCTAGCATAGAACTGGGACAATGAATACCTGTTTTGAACAAGAAATAGCAGGAACACCCCCCACCCTTCTCCACCCTCCCTGCAGGATGGTTGTAACAGAGCTCTGACATGACTGTTGGGGACTGGTGCTAAGTCTGGGCTCCATGCTCTGGCTTTCCCATCACCAGATAGAGAAGTCTACAAGCTGAAGCTTTCCAGCCCCACTCAGCCTGATTCCTAAGGCCTCGCATCTGTCTGGTAGCTCCTTTGGGAAAAAAGACAGATGCCTAAAAATTTAACTGCAAAAATATTTATGTGGAGATTTATCACATACTGACACCTACATTTTCATATATAAATTATACATTAAACTCATTTGGGTTTCTGGTGCAGAAGATTCTTTTCTGGGTAATGAAATTTGTGATTGATAAAGACTAGAAAATAGGGGGAACTTGCTGAGGAATGTGTACCTCCTAGGTCAAAATCCCATTCAGATTGTAGCCTGTGCTTCAGTGCTGCCCCTGGTAACTGCTTGAGCCTGACTCCAGAGAAGTCTAGACGAGGGACTGGCGGTGCCCCGGGAACCAAAAAACTTTATTGGTGAAGTGTTGAGAGTGCAGAGTGCCTGATTCCTGTCCTGGGATCATGATGAGGGGTCTTGAAGAACCTACAACCTATGTGTCACAGAACAGAAGCAGGACAGCCAAGGGCACCCAGCTGCTGGGAAGTGGAGTCAAATATACATCCCATGACTTTGACCATGACTGAGCTTTTCCTATGCAACGCCTTCTGATCTTGGAATCCAATTAAATGAATAATCTGTCACTTGTTCTCTTGCCTAGCCACTCACCCATACATTCACTTATCCTGAGGGCTAACATTGATGGACTGTGTTGCTTTAGCCTTCGATCCTTTGAATAGGAAGATCATAGGGTACACAGTTGACATAAGTGTGAGGAGCCAGGTGTCATGCAAGGCATCTGTGTGGTAGCTCAAGGTAGGAACATCCTTCCATTTTCCTCCCCTGCATATTTGCCTGTTGCTGGATTCTAATGGCTCCCTCTGGGGAGGGGGTGAGAAGGTGCAGTGTCAACAGCACAGACACCAGGAGTCAGTTGAAGGCAAACAATAAACTCCTTTATTTAATAACGGGGAAGGCCTTATATACCCTCTTCCTAGCACCCAGTCTGTGTCACAATCTGGTGGCATTTTGTGGTCATCCCTCATTGGCTGGGCTTGATCAGGAACTCTGGCAGCACTTGTTGCTAGGCCCTCAGGCAGACTCCAGGTTGGCTCATAAGGAAGTACATTATAAGTATGCCTTGGCAACTGGTCTGAGCCAATTTTCTTGACCCTATGGGTCTGTCCTACTACACTTGCCTTCCCTTCTCCTAGTTGCTGTACCCCTGTCAAGCTGTATGCTGGCCTCTTGGCATCTCTCTACAACCCTGCTCAGGCATGCTCATCCTGAAATGTCATCATGTTCCTTTTGGCCCTTATCCCCACCCTATTTGTTGTTTGACCCTCTTCCTTTACTGGGAAAAATTTCCAGCTTATAGTAGGCCTGGGTTCACCACCTGAAAGCTCAGGTCACACTCTGATGGCATGTACAGTCAGGTTAGGGCAAAATGTCCTAGCCTCTAGCTAGTTATGTCTGAAGAGGCTATTGAGTAAACCCAGGGATCATGGATCATTCTAGTCACAAACCTTGGTGACTGTTTCAACTCTGGGGCATATATTTGGCACCACAGAAACAACCTAGAATGACAGCTTAGATATCTATTATAAGTGGGGAAAGACAGGATCAAGAATGGGCATACATCTCATTATGAGACACTTCTGTTTTCACTCTTTCCTTTGAAGCAATCTCCTGATCCAGTTGCAGCAGATGGAGACATCCAGATTGAAAATCTGCTCATCTACTGTCATATGGACTGTTTATATTTCTGACCATTTGTTGTTCAATGGAAAGTTGTGTTGTCATCTTGAGACTCTGGGATAGTATGCCATAACTATGCTCCCACAAGATTTCATGCAGTCACTCCAACATTCTAGGATTTGTGCAGGCTTCCTTTCCTTTTCATTCCTTTTGATGACACCAAAACTTACACTTCAAGTTGGGACTTGCTCATGTGCACTTTCTTGGGGCTAGAGTTAAATTCTTAAAGTATTCAAGGGCAAGGAGTAGCAGTATCTCAGTTCCTCTACTCTTGAGTTGTGTTGATGCTATTTTTTAGGGGGGAAGGTTAGAGACAGGGTTCTCTGTGTCACAGCCCAAGCTGTCCTGTAACTCACTTTGTAGACCACAGAGATCCACCTGCCTCTGCCTCCCAAGGGCTGGGATTAAAGGCCAGTGACACCATGCCTGGCTGTTGATGCTATTTAAAAAATGTGTATAGCCTGGTAGATGGAACCAGGTCACTTGGATTTTATCACCTGGTGGCATAACCTTGGAAATTCACCTTAAAATGGGAGTTTCAAAGTTTTTCTAACAGTAATGGGGGGGGATTCAAAAAGTGTCTTCACTTAGAAACCTTCAGCCACCATGCAGGCACATAACATAAGAGGCAGATCACATTCATCTTCCTCTTTTCCTGGTGTGGTGGTATGGGAGTAGCCTAGACATGGTGCCCCTACCTGGTCAGAGCAATGAAACAAAGCTGGTGATCTCTGAAAGGCAGGATGAAGCTGGGTGTGTGTCTGTGTATTTGGCTGATAGTCTGTGGCATCAAGGGAAAATCTCGTAGCCAGTCCTATCTGCTGTACCCACCTGTTTTGTGTGATCTAGTGAGCCTTCCACGAGTTGAT